TGTCACCCTCATCCCCACAACGCCACTGTCACCCCTGATCCCCAGGCTTGCTGGAAGGGGCCCAGCCGCCCCCTGCCTTCTCCAGCCCCCCCGGGATAATTAGTTTAATCAAGGTAATTCTCTGGTAAAGGTAAGCCCATGCTGGGTAAGGCTCCCTCAGGTGTTTCATTGCTGGGAGGTTTGTGCTGCCTTAATGAGGGAGCAGTAATTAAATCCATCTTTCCTAGTGCAAGCACTGCTGGATGGGCTCGGGATGGAGCCACGCCCTCCCAGGGCAGTGCCAACAGCAAGGACCTGGAGCAGGATGAGACCCCAGTGCCCGCAATGCCCAGGCACCATCATGGTACTTACTGGAACAAAAGAGTGACACGACCAGCCCCGAGAGGCATTTCCTGCGGGAGGAAGGAGCAGAGCTGGATTTGGCTGCCCTGCCAGGTCCCAGAGGCTCCTGCTCGGGGTCCCCACTCACCTGCCTGGCTCGAGCACCTGCAGGCTCCCGTTGCTCAGCACCACCTCGCGGGGAGGCAGCGGCTGCCCGGCGCTCGCCTCCACGCCCTGGAAAGCTGGGGTGCTGGAAGGCACGGGGGGGACAGGGCTTCAGGGGTGGGGAGGACGGGCACTGGTGCCTCAGCGCCTCGGGAGCCTGGATCCCAAAGGAAAAAGGGGTTTCTGTGGGACAGGGATGCCAAAGTGGGGATGTCACAGCCCTGGAGGGCCGGGACACCGAGCCCAGGAGCAGCTGAAGGAGGGGAGAGCGTTCCCTGCTGTGCAGAGGATGAGGAGGTGGCTCTGGGAGAGCTCAGGGAGCTCCTTGCTGCTGTGACATTTGGGACCTGTGTTCAAAGCCTCAATCAGTGACTTTTTGGGCCTGGAAAATGCCGGGTTTGACTCAGTCTGGGCTCCTACAGTGGCTCAAGCACCAGAACCCGTCTTCAAAGGGAAGGGCAGGGCCCTGAGCCTCGCTCCCCAGGTGAGCTGTGTTGGCAGGGAGACGCTGGGCTGCTCTGGGTTGGGCAGGGGGCACGGAGGAAGAGCAGGAGCAGGGCATGATGCCCGTGGGCTGTGACAGAGCAGGGCACAGCACTCTGCTCTCACAGGAGGCTCCGAGTCAGCTCCTGGGGACTCAGGGAGGTGGGGATGGACTGGAACCAGTAGTGCCGAGCTCTGAGTGCTTCCCAGGTTAGCAGAGCCCCACTCCAGCAGAGCTTTTAGGGAAGAGGGGAGGTGAGGCAAGGGAAGCAGCCGGGTACCTGCTGTAGCCCATCTGCTCACAGGCAGCTCTGGCCAGCGCCGGGGTGAAGTGGTCATGGCACACACAGGACCAGGTTTGAGTGTGGCTCTGGAGCACCTGCAGGATGGATCTGTCTTTGGAAACGCGGGCTGGAGGCAGACACAAAGTCAGCTTCAGCACGGGGCGGCCGCAGCAGCCCAGCCCCCCGAGCTCTGGCGGGGTGTCCTGCACTCACCCCCGGCTGGTGGCCCCTCGGGGACCCACTGGGGACAGTTGGCCTCGTCCTCGCCCTGCAGACAGTCCAGCTGCCCGTCACACACCTGCTTCAGCGGCACCAGCTTCAGCGGCTGCTTGCAGAACAGGTAGTGGTGCTCCAGGTAAATCTTCACTAGAGGGAGAGGGGGGCTCAGCGCTGAGCTCCAGCTCAGGGCAGGCCTGCGGCTGCCCCGGGGGAATCAGCGAGGAGCTGGGTCTGTGTTGGCTGAGCCGTGGCCATGGGGAAGGAGGGGAAGAGTCAGGAGTGTACCCAGGAACCCGATGGCCACCAGGCAGGCGAGGGTGAGCACCACGGCCAGGACGAGGATCCCGACCCGCTTGAAGGACTCCGATGTCCTGGAGGATTTGGGTCTCATGCAGGGACCTGCAACACAGAGGAGCATGGCCCGGCATGGCTGGGCTCAGCCTGGCACCTCTCCTCTCTCCCAGCTCCCACCGCTGTTACCTCTGCCGTTGAGCCGCTCCGAGGCCGAGTCCTGCAAACCAGAGAGGAAAACCAGTCAGGGGCTGGAACTGCAGGCAAAAAGCAGCTGGGAGGTGGGAGGGCAGCTGTGCTCAGGGCAGCTGGCCCTTGGTGAGCTCACAGCCCAGGGAGGGCAGCAGGGATGAGCAGGGAAATGGGCCCAACCTTCACCCGAGGTGGCTTTAGAGCTGCTGGGAATGGGGGTGGCTTGTCCTGAAGTGACAACGCCCAGCTCTGGGTCACCTGGGGTCACCTGCCACCTTGTTCCCATAGACACCACCCGTGCAGTTCCAGTAAGTGGCTCCCAGTGGTATAGAGTTACTGTCATTAACACACCTGAGGCTTAAAAACTCGCAGATGTTGTGAAAGAGGCTCTCTCTGCTGCGCACAGACACCCCGAGTCAAAATCCCCACGCCTGCGGGGCTGTGGCACAGACGGGGCACATCACCACGGGGGGCTGTGGCTGCAGCAGGGTCAGGAGCGGGGGGCACAGCCCCGGAGCTCCCTGCCGGGCTGCAGGAACACCCGAGGAACCAGCCCGAGCCAGGGGAACCAGGGAGGGAGGGAGGCAGGGCTGTGCCGCTGCTAAGAGACGGGTAAACACAGCCGGGGCTGGAGGGGATGACTCAGGCATCGATCCGCTTGAGCTGCTCCGAGTTATCCTGCAACAACTCCTCGTAGAGAGAGCCCCGGCGTGGCAGGGCGGGTGCTGGGTGGGCTGGAGCCCTTCGGGAGGGTTCAGGTGGGCGCTGTCAGTGTCTGTTCAGTGTTTTCCAGCCGTGGTTGTGCCGTGCCACAGAGCAGCCCTTTGCAAAGGTGCTCCTGCTGCAGTGAGCCTGCTCCCATCCTCGCCCTGCCAGCCCCAGTGAGCTCTTCTCCTGTTCTTCTGGACTCTGCCACCACAGGTAAGACAGGATTTTGGCATGGGCAGAGGTGAGGAAGGTCCAACCCGCTGTGAGAAGCCCACAGACCCAGGTGCATCATCCAGGAGGGCTTCGGAAGCCTTTGCTCCAGCGGGACTCCAAGAGCAGCACAGGTTTGGAGGTGATGGTGTTGGTCACGCCAAAGGAGAGCAGAGGGCCCTGTGCCACCCCAGGGCGCAGAGGCTGGGGCCTGGCAGAGCAGCTGGGGGCACTGGGCATGTGGCACAGCTGGAGGGGGCTGAGTGCCAGGCTCAGAGGAGAGGTGAGCCCTCCCTGCCCGAGTCACCGTGCCAGCATGTTTAGCCGTGCATGCACACCCTTCCAGCAGCGTTTTACAGCAAGTGCCCAGCCATTATCCCTGGGCTAGCTCACAAAGGCAGGCTGGCTTTGTGAGCCAGGAGCTGTTGCCTCCCCGTCGTGTCCCTCAGCATGGCTGGGGCTGCTGGTTTTGGGAACAAGCAGTGACCTGTGCAGGGGAGGACTGGGTCCTGCCTGGTGCCGTGTGGCTGTGTCCCAGCACGTTGGAGTCTGGCTCCTTGAGGAAATGCCAGCAGCCTTTGTCCCAAAGCCAGGCTCAGCTGGCACCCGTGCCGAGTGTGGGCAGCTTGTGCCAAATTCCCCACCCCTGGACGGGCTCTGCTCAGCTCCTGGGGTGCAGAGCCCGTTCCTGGTGGCTGGGAGCTGCTGGGAGCAGGAGGGCAGGGTGGAAAGAGAAACCTGGGTCCTGCATCTTCCTGAGCCACCTCTCTGCACAGAAGGCAAGAACTCCGGGAGGCCTGGGGACTTTTGTAATGCTGCACCATCCTCTGGCAGCCCAGGGCACGTGGGGCTGGTCCTTCCTCATGCTGACCTCCTGTGTCACCTGGACCTGGGCCGGGCACCACCTGGATAATGGGATCCTAACGGTTCCCTGTGGGAACGGTCCCGAGATGGATCCTCCAGGCCCCACTGCAGCAGCACGGCTGTCCCCACGCTGCCCAGAGCTGTCCCCATCATGTCCCACTCAGCAGCACAGCTGTCCCTCTGTCCCCACGCTGCCCAGAGCTGTCCCCATCACGTCCCACTACAGCAGCACAGCTGTCCCTCTGTCCATGCTGCCCAGAGCTGTCCCCATCACGTCCCACTGCAGCAGCACGGCTGTCCCTCTGTCCCCACACTGCCCAGAGCTGTCCCCATCACGTCCCACTGCAGCAGCACGGCTGTCCCTCTGTCCATGCTGCCCAGAGCTGTCCCCACGCTGCCCAGAGCTGTCCCCATCATGTCATCCACGGCTGGGATCCTTTCCATGACACGATGTCTGGTGTGGGTGCTGATGAGATGGGTGATCACAGGGTTTTGGGGTTTTTTTGCATTTTCTTCTGTCCGTGAACCTCTTCTGTTTCCAAGGGATTGAGAGCTTGGAGCTGCCTCTCCATGACTCCTCTCAAGCCCCACCACGAGCAAGAGCTGCACTGGTTAAATCCAAAGCCATTCTCTCCTGCAGAACTCCGTGCTGCCGTGACTAATTGAGCTCCCTTGCTGCGCTCTCCCTTGGTGTCACCGTGGCCATGCCAGGCTCCAGCTGTGCCAGCGCCAGCCCACGAGCTCTGCTGAACCTCCCACCCCTTTCAGCAGAGGTTCCATGCTGGGGGTGCTGAGCTGAGCTGAGCTGGCCTTCGTCCCTCCCTCGGGAGCAGGTGGGAGTCTCCCTCACCCAGCCAGGCTTCACGGGGCCATCAGATTCCGAGGGTGGCTCCTTGGCTGCGGGGATTTAACCCGTGGGTGTGTGCAGACACTGCAGGCAGGGAGCTCCCCACCCTGCTGGGGTTGATGTCCCGCTGGTGGAGGTTCTGCAGTGCCCGGCGAGCTTGGTCATCCGTGTCTGGCATCTGCCCTCTTGGGGAAGCGTGTCCCTCCCAGGGAGGAACTGCATGCCAGCCTGGGGTTTGGTGGCCGTGGCTTTTCCTGCACAGGGCGCTGCAGGTGTGTCCCCTGTGCTGAGCAGAGGCCTTGGCAGCTGTGCTGGAGGCTGGGAGGGCCTGGCTCTCCCCCAGGCAGTGCCCAGGAGTGGGATAAGACCCTTTGGAAGGTCCTGTTCCCCTTGGCATGGGGGACACTGCCTTGTTTGTCTGCTGCCAGGGCCGGGAGAGGGAAAGGCAGCCCCAGAAACGTGGGAGCGAGAGCTCGGGGGTGCCCAAGCACTGTGTGAGGTGTGAGGAGCAGGGGGAAACCCTTCCTTGGCTGCTGGGGAGCAGCAGCTCCTTGGGCCTGGGCTGCCGCATCCCCTGGGCACCGCTCCGGGCTGGGAGCGCGGGGTGCGCGGGGGGCCGGTGCCATCCCGGGGCCGGGGACAGCGACTCACCATGTCCATCCAGCTCCGGCGTGCTCCCTCCGCCCGCGGAAAGCCGGCAGATGTCCCGCTGCGGGACCGGGGAGGCGATGCTCCCTGCGCAGCCTGCGCTCCGTGCCCACGCCGGGCTCGCACTGGGGCAGGACCGCCCCGGCCCTCCTTAAAACCCACGAGGGGAGTTGTGAAACAGGAATCCCGGTTTGTATTGTAACCCAACACCGGTCTATCAGCAGCACACCACCTGCGGTAATCTCCCCAGCATCTGCCCCGGCGGGTGACTCACCTGCGGGGCTGCTGTCACCAAATACTTATCAGAAGTGAACGGACTGATTTTTCCTGCTCCTCCTGACGATAAGAGGATCCACGGCCATGCCGCTCTTTGTCCGGCTCTTCCGCGTTGCGCTGGGTTGTTGTCAAGCCGACGTCTGAGTAGGTGGAGGAGGAAAGGAGGAGAGTTTGTGCTCTGGGTCACTCGGGCTGTGTGTCCCCAGGTCAGGCTGGCAGGGCTGCGGGAAGTTAAAGGGAAGGCAGGCGGATGCCCGTGGAATGTCACCCAGGCTGCGAGGGGGGCAGAGGGTTATGGATCTGTGATTATTCAGGAATAACCAATCCCTCTGGGATGGAGTGGTTTGCCTTAGCCTGGCAGGATTTGAGGTGTGCAGGAGGCAGCACCCCAGCGGGGTGAGGGTGGCCCAGGGAGCGGGCTGGGGTCGGGGAGCTGCTGCTGCCCTCTGCACACTCAGTCTGGATGTGCTGGGTGTGCAGGATGTGCCAAGCAGCTAATTACCCCCTTCTCCTGTGGAAATCCAGCTTTCCCGGCCTGCAACTCCTCAGGGAGCCGTGCCATCGCTGTGCCAGCTCACCCCTGCCAGCAGGGATCCTGCCCGCTCCCACAGCCTGGCCAGGCATCCACCTGTGGCTCTGCAGGTAAGGGGCACCCTCCCCACACTCACACTGGGAGCTGTGGGCACCTCAGCCCTCGTGCTCCATGCGATGCCCAGGGGATGTGGGATGTAGGGAGCATCCTGCTGGGCTACTGTGGCACGTTTTGGGTTGAAAAATGTTCTACGGGCTGCAGCAGTGAGGGCTGGGCAGGCTTTGCTCCCTGGTGCACCTGGCAGGTCCTGGCAGCCTCCCCAGAGCATCCGGGTGCCAGCCCTGCTGCCGTGGCAGGGACAGCAGCCCGGGAGGGTGGCACAGCAGCAGCAGCCGCTCCTCCCTCGGGGATGCGAAGGCCCCGAGGACGCAGCTCAGCCCTGCAGGTGTTGTGTCACAGCCCCGCGCCTCCGGGGCTCTGCTTCCTTCCTGGAGTGCAGGCGTCTGCAGCCGGGCACCCTCCCCTGCCCCCGAGCCTGCCGTGGCACGGCTTTCCGGGCATCTGGCTCCGCTGGGGTCAGGCACAGGTCAGGCCGGGCTGGCCCAGGGCTCTGAGTGACCCGAGTGACCCTGAGCCACACAGACACACCCCTCAGCCTGTCCCAGCCCCCGGGGGCTGCAATTCCTGCTCTCCCCACCGTGTTCTGCTGCCTCTGCCACCCCCCAGGCCCCACCGCTGCTCTTGGCACCGAGGTTGGCAGAGCTGCTCCTGCCCTGGCCGCCCACGGACACCGATGTGGGGCAGGGCAGGGTTGGAGGCCGTGCCTGGCACAGCAGCACGAAGCAGGGAGGAGTTTTGCCCAGGTTCCAGCTGTTCAGGGCTGCAGCTGGTTTTTGGTCACTGATCCCTGCAGCCGCAGGAGGTGGTTTTCCCTCTTTCTGCAAACAGGGGCTGATTCCCAAGTGTCACTCTGGTTTGGGACTTGGAGGAGATGATCAAGTAGAGCGTAAGTGCATCGCTCTGGGATGTGTCTGACTGGGGGCAGCTGCTGAAGGTCACCCCTGTCCTTCCCTGTCCCCTGGGGTCCTGCCTGAGGTCCCCAGCCTGGGTTCTGCGTGGGTCTCTGCCACCTTCCTGGCTGCTGGTCTTGCTGGGAGGTGGCAATCGGAGGGCACGGCCACTCGGGCACCTTGCCAGAGCTGGACACACCTGTGTCCAGGCTGTCCCTGCCCCTGAGGCTCCCAGTCCTCCCAGTTCAGCCTCTTCCAGCAGAGGGAGGGCAGAGCTGCGGGCACAGGCAGGCTGGGCACGGCGATGTGCCCTCGGTCGTGTCTGCTGCAGCTCCTCTGCTTTCTCCCTGCGAACCAGTTGGACCA